AGACCAGGGGAAAGGCAGTTTGTCAACAGACCGAGTACTGGGATTTAACCGTCAATCTTATAGTATAACCAACGATCGAAAGAGAAAAGACGAACCATGAACTTCGGATTCACAGTTAGAGCACGCTGGCCAGTAGGCAACGCCCAACTCCATTTACAAAGGAGAATATAATAATTTACAAAGTCTTTCTTTGAAGTAATGCAAAAATGCAAAATAAAAGGAATATAATCAACCATTCATTTGAAGATACTGAAAAATAAATGCTGGAAGGAATGGCAATTTTGTCTGTTTTTTTCTCATTAAGTTGTAGTTAGAAGCTCACAAACCACCCAGTACACACACGTTTATAGATAGATACAACTAAAGATTAATATATGCTGAGATATGAATAACTTTGTAATAAAAGCTGCAAATAAAAACACGAATGCGCTTTTAAGTCCTTTTCAACCACCAAATTTAATGATTACAATAAGTGCTTTTGATATTAGCTTAAGCAATTAGCACAAATATTGATACTTGATACGGCTGTACCGATTGCTTGGTCTGTTCCGTGTAACAGGGTTGCGATTATAAAGCTAATGTGGGTTTCTATCGAGTGTCACTTTCTTACTTGCTGTGGTTTGTTGGTGTGTATTGACAAAAAGTCATGGCATCTAATCAAAAACACCTTAGGTGTGAAAAAAAAAAGGTGCGGCTAAAAAAGGATTGAGTGTACGTCTTAAAGGAAAGAAATAAAAAATGGCGGCCAAACTGGTAGCTACACTTATATCATTGATAATAATTCTACAGCAAATATTCATTCATTAGTTAGCCAATGATTATATTCTACGTGATGCCTTTGTTATGATTAAAAAGAGCTTTATCAGTCCGAATTATTTAAAATTTTAATTTAAGAAACAATTATGACTTCGGAGTTCTAAAATAAAACTTATATGTTAATTTGTCATTACTTGTAAAGTCAAATCTTCAGTTGTTTTTTTTTACCTTTGCTTGTTTTCATAGCTAAGCACAAAGCTGCATAATAGGATGTCTGTGCTGTACTAATCATAGGTATCGAAACCCAATTTCAAGCGTTATAAGCCCGGTGATTTACCGCTGTGCCACTGGGTGCTTTTCTTTTTTTTTACCTTGGCCAGCCATGGTTGTTACCACGCATGAATAATACTGATAACGAAATGTTGGACTATTTTTTTATACTTTATATTTCCCCTCAAATAATAAAAAAAAAATCCTTTTTTAGCTTAGCTTTCTGATTTGAAAGATAATTTATATTTGAAAAAAAGTAGGATCTTATTGAACTTTAAACCCATTAATAATAAATAGAAATGCAATGTCTGAATTTTATTAACACATCTTCTGTTTCTTATCACCGTTGTTTTATCATGTAAGTGCATATCTTGATAATAACAATATTGCATCATGACAAATCCACGGCTGCCGGCATATCAGTTAACATTTACCATGTTGTTCTGAACCACTTTACTTGTAACGTTCTCACTCGTGTTATCCGTATATACACATACTCATATAAGCCGGCATATCAGTTAACATTTACCATGTTGTTCTGAACCACTTTACTTGTAACGTTCTCACTCGTGTTATCCGTATATACTCATACTCATCTAAGCATATTATCTACTTACAATTAACACTAAAGTGCAGTTTATTTATTTTTGTAACCCATTTATCTAATGATTAACACTGCAGCACAGTTTCTTTTACCCTTGCCCGGCATGGCCAGGTGGTTAAGGTGCTCGATTCCCAGTTTGCGGGTCGTGGGTTCGAATCTCCGTCACACCAAACATACTCGCCTTTTCAGCCGTGGGGGCGTCAAGTGACGGTCAATCCCACTATTCGTTGGTAAAAGAGTAGCCCAAGAGTTGGCGGTGGGTGGTGATGACTAGCTGCTTATACTGCTAAATTAGGGACGGCTAGTGCAGATAGCCCCCCGTGTAGCTTTGCGCGAAATCCATAACAAACAAACAAACCAATGTAATATACAGTAGTAGCGTTGGAACAGTGGAAATGTGACCGCGCTAAAAAGTGGTTTCTAGAAATTTCTAACTAAAATAACAGAGTGCTTTAATTGTTTAAAATATAACATAGATTCTCGCTACTTGTGACCAGGATGAGAAAGGAGGAGGGTTGGGCGCGGATACTAGCAACTCCACCCCGTAAAAACCAACCTGCTACAAGTAACAACAACAACAAACTTCCGTTGGCGAGTTGTTGTCGCGGCCCTATGCTCCACTGGGAGTTTACAGGAATAATAATAAAAAAAAGAATAGGAGCTAGACCACTTTTTGGCTTGACATTGTTTTGCTGAAAATTACCAAGAAATTGTGAATATATGATAGTTTTTTTAATACACTGCCTGAGCATAAATCCTTAAAGACACGTATAAATGTAATATAAAATTACCAGTACGATGATCCTTTACATGCAGTCAGAAAAAGTAAACTTTAATGATTCACAGTTTTCCATCATTCCGATCCTCAGCATTTGCAGATAAAATCGAAGTACATTGTCTTTCTTTGAGTCATCTACAGATACATGTGTTTCACAGTTTTCCATCATTCCGATCCTCAGCATTTGCAGATAAAATCGAAGTACATTGTCTTTCTTCGAGTCATCTAGGGATACATGTGTTTCACAGTTTTTCCACCATTCCGATCCTCAGCATCTGCAGATAAAATCGAAGTACATTGTCTTTCTTCGAGTCATCTAGGGATACATGTGTTTCACAGTTTTTCCATCATTCCAATCCTCAGCATCTGCAGATAAAATCGAAGTACATTGTCTTTCTTCGAGTCATCTAGGGATACATGTGTTTCACAGTTTTTCCATCATTCCAATCCACAGCATCTGCAGATAAAATCGAAGTACATTGTCTTTCTTCGAGTCATCTAGGGATACATGTGTTCATTTTCTTAACTCAGAGTTAAAACAGCATCCTCCATCCTTTAATACTCGAAGTTTATATATGTACACAATTCTCTTAGTAGGCAAAAGGAATGAAATATATCAACCTATCTATCCTTATACATAAAAAGAAGTGTTAATTAGTTTTCAAATATTTAATTAGACGCCTTTAAACGTACACGGGTGAATGGGTCAGTGACACTCCTTATTGTCCACATTAAACATATTGATACATATATATTTATACCACATTTATCTATAACGTCATGCATGATTAAACAATATCGACAATGGGTAAATATTTTGATAAGGTGATTCATAGAAACTAGTTTAGATCACAGTGGGAAATATGTGCATGAAACGAAGATTTGAACAATTTGGAGCTTTATGAAAAACACATGTAATAAAAATAGCTATGACAAATTGGCCTGATGAAGTAAATTTTGTTATATATTTGGCATTTCTTTCATGAAACTTCCACATTAAATATATTTCTTGAATATCATAAAAATCACAAGTTAAATACCTATTTTATAACAGAGTAAAGTGTTTATTTGTTGCTTGACGAATTACCCTCGAAGGAAATATGAAAATGTTATGTCTAATTTCGATGAAATGTTGCCTTCGGAATCTGATTAATGTTGAAGATTCGTTATTACAGCGTTTCTAAACAAGAACCTATCTATCAGTCGTCAAACTAGCAAATTAAATTTTGCCCTGAAGGCTCTACAGAGAACACGACGAAACATTGCTAGTAGACATGTTTCATTGTTTATGTTTAAGAAAATGCTGTTCTTTTTTCATTTTTTTTTCAACCGTTATCATTGGTTTATGTTACGTGTACTTGAGCCACAGACATGTAATAAAAAATGGAAAAACAACAGAAGTACGATTAACGGTTTAATTTCCAGATCAGTTTATTAACATTGCCAAGTTGAAATCTAGCTTGATGGTAAATCTATTTACATTTCATTTCTTTGCAATATTTGTTTTCAAAGTTATATAAAATATGTAATCCCCCCCCTCCCAACCATGTCCTGTTGGTTAAGGTACTCTACACCAAACATCCTCACTTCTTTAGCTGTAGGAGTGTAATAATGTGACGGTCAAATCCACTGTTTGGTCAGATAAGATTAGCCCAAGATCTGGGAGGGAAGGGGAGGTTGCTAAATAGCTGTCTCACCTCTAGTCTATCATTTTAAAATCAGGGACATGTATGCAGCAAATAATCTTATTATTACCAGCTCGATTTAGATATACAGCGCAAGGCTAAGGAAAATACTGTTCATTTGGGACAATTGGGGAAATGATGTGGAATGTAGTTTCATGCGCTTGTTTGCAATCAGTCATAGTTATATACATAAAAACATTTGGTACTGGAGAATGGGGATTATTCAGTAAGTTCTTAAAGTGTTCAATTGGTTCAATAGAGTTGTGTTAGTGTTCTTAATTAGCTAGTAATGATGCGTTGAAGTTAATTTTAAGCACCAAGTAATGGACTGGTTAATTTTAAAATAAAGAAGGGCCAAGTCTGTCATCGTATGAAGATTGTAGTGAAACGCTACATGGGTAAATGAGAGTAAAAAGTCCAAGCCTGTTGTAGGATTACTTTGTGAAATTCAAAATTAGTATATATTTGTTGCTATGCTATATTAATATTATATGGACAAAATAATAATTATGAATACAATCCATTTAAATTGGCAGACAGCTCCAAATAACCACACTTTTTAAAATATACAAGCATCCTGGCGCCCATAGAATTTTCCTTATCTGTTTCGTTTGTTGTTTTTATGTCTGGCTAGGATAATGTATCTAAGCCATAAAAACCAGAACTGATGATGGTAAATAAAATCTCCTGTGTCCTGTTCTGAAAACTGATCACGTGGGAAGAGGAGTTATACAGCTTTGCTTATTAGACGTTACAGTGTTTAATCATTGAGGTAACCAATAGCAACAATTCTTGATAAAAACTCCAGAATCTCTGACAATACACATGCTGTCAGATTAAACACTACACATACACACTCATATATATATATACCGTAATGTCACTTTTGTACTTTGGTAGAAACTAGTGATAAGATATTAAACTGAGCATGCCATATTCGAATATATAGCACTTGTAAGTTCATTGAGTGTGCTACAGTAGTACGAAGCCCAACACTGGAGTTACACAATAAAAAACCAGAAGAAATAGGGAATTTAAGGTGAGAAAATATTTAATTAAAAACAGTATTTAGCAAAAAGTTACCTAATATAAAAGTATATTTTTGTGCACAGGTTTTGGTTGTTTTATTAACCTTCATTGCGTCTGCTAGAGCTTTTACAATATGTATATACAGAGGTTGAGTACGTTATATTTAAAAAATTTTGGAGCCTCACCTCGTCCTTACAGTTACAACTCGTGTCGCGAAGTCTGGTCATGTTTTTCTTGACAACAACCATACAGCGTAGTTTCCATTATAAAAGGCTCCATCGTAAGGCTGCCATGTCCAAAGTACACCATCCTTCCTTGTTTCTTTCTATATTCCATCTAGTGCACAAGAACGACCGTTTCCTAGCTCCTGTTTCAACAGTTCCATCGCACATATGTCCATAGGTGCTGTGTTTGGCATATCTCAGTATGAAATAGCATGAATATACCCGTTTCATTACTGAGCTGCTTGAAGTATGCGATGGTTGAAAAATGGTATGTCATGGAAGTAGCTTGTGTATACATAGCTTGTGCTGCTTTTCCAGACGGAGATTCTTCCTGATTATGTTGTGTATTATTGCCTGGAACACGTGGACGGCTTTAGCCACTGATCTTTGACAAATTATCACCTGTTACAATACACAGTATTTTGCTTACTATGGCTGGGGTAAGACTTGTTGTATCTTGCTTTCTGTATGGTCCTGGGTCCCCAAGGTGATCCACATTCCTTTTTTTCTCCAATTCCATTAGGTAAAAGGGATACCCCCTCTTTGAAATTCTAATTCTCAATCTCAATATATCTTTATGATCTAAGTGCATGAATATTTTACATCGGAAACGGATTTCATATACATTTTCCAAAAGCAGTAAATTTTCAGTGACATCACACTTTCCATATACGTAATTAAACGCTAAACAATGTCAAAGTGCAGTTCTGATACAGGTTGTTCCACCTCAATTTTATATTGGCTCTGCATGTTCAAAATCATTTTATTATAACGTATAACGTATAATATAAGGTACTATCTATATTAGTGGGAGCTTTTAACTGAGTATTAACAAGCTATTTAGTAATTTTCATAACTTGTTTCACTATACCACTCATTTTACAACGTTAGGGCAGTACAAACGTTGTTCTTTTTCATCTGTCTTTTAAACATTAAGTTGAAAGGTGACGTTTAGAAAGGAATTACAAAAAGAAACAAGTCCAAAAACTTCAGTTAGTATTATTATATATTCAACGGTAAATAACAGAGAATACATATGTAGTTATAACGCGTGCTAAGTAACCCAAAAGTCTAATATAATTGTTAAGTGTAATTCACTTTTATTTAGGATTTGTCTACTTGGGATCTTTGGTAAAGAAGGAACTAAATTTGCTGTATAAACCGTTTCGTTCTTAATCTTCTCTGTGGGCAAAAATAAAGCCTGACAAATAATAAGTAAAATGCTTTAAAAATAAGTCAATTAGTTAGTTAATTAATTAGAAATTAAAAGTTCTTTTGTTTAAATATTTCATCCATTTCATCTTGCTAACTCGTTTATGATCAACAAAGCTAGTGCTGAGAGGCTAAATTTTTTTTCAAGAAATGTTATTCTTATAGTGACGTTTTGTTTTTATTTTAGTTTAGATGTATTGTATGGGATGTTGAGTTTTCAGATTTACTTAATAAATACATTTTCTTTATATTGTAGCAAAATCTCAAAATTATGTTTTCTTTTCACAGTCTCTAGATTTGTATAACGAATAAATGATACTAATTGTATAGGCTTATAAAATACACACTAGATTTTTTTTTTTTTGCTTGAACCTATATAGCCTTTCTAATTCATTTTAGCATAAATTCTGTTTTGTTTTTTGGCTGTTTCTTTTTCAATAATAACACAGGCCTGCGAATTTAAACTTCATAAAAGTTGTTTTGGCTTTAATAACGCAGATTTCGAAAATAATATTAATTTTTTCTATCACGTAAGGATTTTTTTTTTTACAAATCTTACTTAGATCAAATTATTATTTCATTTACCACAATGAACATTTTTTATAATTATGTATGTTAACAAAAATACAAACAAACTAAAGAAAAGTGATAATCATTGATGTCAAATGAATATGCATCCTCATTCATCCTGATTTTTTTGTGAAATCTACGTCTTTTAGCCTCAACATTACATGTTGTGGTCTATCTTTTATGTATTGTATTATGACGTTTTGTGAAAAATCTATACGTGATGGAGAAAAATGGATATCATTTTCGGATTCAGCGTATAGGACTTACTGTAGAACATGTTAACATTTCAAGACAGTAAATCCATCGCAGGGCTGTGTAATATACGTTGACTTATCATTATTGTTCGATCAATTTACTATTACTTGTTCCGCTTGTTTTACCTCATCAATAACATAGATTCACTACATAAAAGTAGGCAAGAAATTGAAGGAAGTTGATCATTGCATGAAATGACTGATGTGCTATAAATAGCACGAAGACAAAAACTTTATAGCTCATTGTTTGCTTTATTTCCTTTGGTTCTCTTTTTGTCAATAGCACAAGAACATGAAAATCCTATTCATTATCAAAATAAAACAAATAGTGTACATAGTCGATGAAATATTGTCACATAATTTCTTCAGTTATTTATGCTTTCCATAGTAAGTTTTACATTTTATATTTAGTTTATAAAGATAATAAATAAAATGTAAAATAATGTTCATTATTTTTCTTCTAAGATATATCTTTTGTCTTATTATCTGTTTGGTCTCCAGTGGTTTAGATGTAAATCTGAAGGCCTATAACGCTAAAAACCTGGTTTCGATACCATCGGTGGGCACGGTACAGATAGCATGGCCAGGTGGTTAGAGCACTCGACTCGCAATCTGAGGGTTGAGGGTTCGAATCCCCGTCACACCAAACAGCCGTGGGGCATTATAATGTGACGGTCAATCCCACTATTCGTTGGTAAAAAAGTAACCCAAGAGTTGGCGATGGGTGGTGATGACTAGCTGCCTTCATTCTAGTCTTACATTGCTAAATTAGGGACGGCTAGCGCAGATAGCCCTCGTGTAGCTTTGCGCGAAATTCAAAACAAACAAACAAACAATATTAACACTACGCTATAACACTTATATGAAATGTAATATTAAAACTTCAAAATACCGGGAAAACTGCCACTCCAAATAAGCTTAATTTAGTATTTTCAAAGTCTTTAGGTACGTTTGCTATGATATATGAATACTGAGTTAATGTCACTGAGACTCTGAAAGCAATCTTAATTTTACAACTGGTTATATTAATATTATTTGCTTGCTATTTCACAATAAATCGTATCCAAATTAGTAGGTACAATTTGATTATTAAAGAGAAACATTTGAAAAAATTGTTCTTTATGGTATAGAATATTATATACGACATAAAACGGGATCCGTACTTGTAACCGTAAACAAACAAACAAACAAAACGATCGTATTAATTGTGTGTTTGTTTTTTTTTAATTTCAGTATATTCCAAAATAGAAAAATAATAGTTTTGTTTTATTTGTTTTTTAAATAAGTGAGCGTCACATCTATAATTCATTGAAGATCAAAATAATCCAACGGCATGGCGAACGAAGGAATGCAACAACTAATCCACATGATGAACAAGCTCCAAGACGCAGTCTCACAAGCTGGATCAAAAATTTTCAACGTAGATCTACCTCAAATAGTTGTCGTCGGAGGACAGAGTGCGGGTAAAAGCAGCGTCTTGGAAAATTTTGTCGGAAAGTAAGAATAGATTTGTTATTATCTCCCTATTTTTTTAAGTAATAGCTATGATATTACTTCAATACAAAAACTCTTTAACAAAGCAAAAATTACAAATAAAAAAATAACAAGAGGGAATCCTCAATAGCCGCTGCACTTGAAATTCTTTTAGGCAGGATTAGAGTAAATTAGTCTATGAGTTTTGTGTTGTTGTTGTTGTTTTTTCGTTTTTATTAGCTATATATTTGTGTGCCAGCAATACCAAGCGTGGGTTGCGCGTATACCCAATTCGATTTTATTACTCATCAGGGTATCTACCAGTCTACTCTCAAATTGAAATTCTTTTAGGCAAATTATTGTAAATTAATCTATGAGACTTTTGGCATGGTCAAATATATCAATCGAAAGGGTTTGCCCTCCTGAGTCCAAAACTGTAATTAGATCTCGAATCGGTCAAGAGATGACAGAGCTATGAGCTAAAAGTTTGTACATGAAAAACAAACAAAACTCAGAGCCCTTCTATGAGCCACTATGCCGCAGCTAAAAATACTCATAAAAAGCTAACACTGAAATATTTAATTTGTGTTCGTTTCGTATTCGTATGGAATTGATTTTTTTTTAACTTTTGGCCTTTTAGGTGTTATTATTTTAAATCTGCCTGTGACGGATTTATTGTTATATATTTATTTTAATACCAACGTTTGTTTAGATTAAGTTTATATTTTGAAGTATGCATAACTTATACTGTTAAATATATATTGTGAAACTCCCGCCTATTCTCCAAGTTGTAGAAGATTCCCGAGACTAAGAATCAACAATATATGTATGTACCTAAACGTTTAAGTATAGCTCAGTATTGTTACGTAAATCTGAATTTTCTAGAAAGCCTTCACACGCCTATAAATATAACCAAAAGAGAGAGTATCTATTATTAGTTTGCTATAGTCAGTGTGCTATAAACTTCGGAAGCTATAATTGTGATTGTTATAACGCTTATCAATCGGAAAGCTTCAGATATTTCACCAGGAGAATTTACAAAGTTCGAACATTACAAATCAATTAACTTCATTGGATTCGCATCAAACATTAGTATTTTTACAAAAAACATTACCTAACGTCACCGGTAGGAAAAATATCGGTGTGTGATCAGCGAGAAGGACAAAGCTAGCTAGCTTCTCGTTAAGTGAATTATTCCTACATCAACTTAATCAACTCGCTCATCGTGAGCCTTCGATAAAATATCGAAGAAGTTCCAGACTAGAAAGAAGACTTTATACTGCTTGTAAGTTTGTGAAACTTTCGTTTATAAATCATTGTTTGTAATAACTATTCGTATTAACTGTTATTTTAAATTGTATTGTTAAAATGTATTTGTGTTAAAAAAAGAAAATGTGTGTATCAATGGTGTTGGCAAATATCATAAACTGACTATATATCGGCTTTTACGTAACTGCTAAATCCAAAGTATAATTTAACTAGTAAATTTAAATTTTTCAGTTAGCTCAACTTCAGTCAAATAAATCGGTATGGGTTGAATTAACTATACATCAGGGGACAATGATACTTCTCCAGAAAAACTTTTGTTTGAAGTGGTACATGCTAGAGATCTAAAAAGTCCAACAGTTTAAAATTTGAATTAATGGAATAAGTGCACAATGTCATACGACTAACAGATGAATAATGAGATTAAATGTCATAAAACATACTGTTGTGCAGAGTTCGTTTTATACAATATCTATATATATAAAGACGAATCGTGTATTTATTTGCACCCTAACTCCTCCGAGCCTATTAGGCCAATCTCAACCAAAATGTGTATATAAACGCTATGAACTATGGGAAATGTCCTAAGGGGGGGGGGGGATCCAAGTTGAACTTAACTCTATATTTTGTAAAGCCTGTTGGTTAATTACTCCCACCCTATTGAGTAAATCTCAAACAATCTTGGCAGGATGACGTTTTAGACAACGTTGGATATTCTAAAGGATTTCAAAGTCAAAGCATGAAAGTTGTTGGATTGTTTCTCAAACAACCATGCTTTTCTCATGGTCAATGACATGTAGGGTGTCCAAGGGTGGGATCACCTCAAAATCTTTATTTGTTGATAGATGGAAAGCAAACTGCAAATATTGGTTATGAAGAAGCTTTGTTACGATATTGAGATTTTGAGATAAAGTTTATGTTCAGATTATTACTTTCAAATATACGATTGCTGTTAAACTTACATTGTTTTAATTAAGTTTAAACACTCCCCATCAGTTGACGGGTATTTCAATTTGTGTGTTATGTAGTTGTAAAGAGTAGTCGAATAATTCCATCTGTCAATGAAGAGATTTAGATAAAATAAATCATTTACACTGTGTAACGAGAAGGGATGACGTAGGTTATTTTGATAAGGCTTATGATAATAAAATGCCGTCAAAGTAAATACATATTGTATATCAAAATTTTCACTCTGGCGCTCAAATGTTATATATATACGTGCATAAGTTGTTGTTTTTTCTCTACATATATGTTTCAGGGAGATTTGTATTTACACTTAAGACTGTGTGGATGAAGAACACATAATGAAGCTGATATGAAACCCCACTAACTTGTAATGACGTCAGCTTTCTCTTCAAGCTTCGTTTTATTTATTGTTTTTCATGAGATATTTCACCAATATTCAAATACATGTCTATTTATCAGTGATATATGAAAGTTTAAACATACATTACTGAAGGTAAATTAATGATCTCATCTCTAATATAAATTCATCTAAACGACGGATGACTAATTAATAAAACTATTGGATAGAAAATTCTCGAAACGTCTCTGTTTAGCTGCTTACCAATTATAACCAATCTCTATAAAATTATAAATGTTTCTATACGATACTACGTCGTAGCTTCAGCCGCAAATCAAGTGAATTATAATTGCTTACTAAACGGTTTTCAAGTACAGTGGATATTTTCCTTGTTCTTGTAGTTTATTAAAGTACTGAATACTTATTTTTAATTACAAAAACAATCTGTAATAAGGCTTCACATGTTTCACTACCTCTTCACGGACTTGTTTCATGTTTGTCAACATTTCCACAGGCTTCACATGTTTCACTACCTCTTCACGGACTTGTTTCATGTTTGTCAACATTTCCACAGGCTTCACATGGTTTATTACATGTTCACCGACTTGTTTCATGTTTGTCAACATTTTCACAGGCTTCACATGTTTCACTACCTCTTCACGGACTTGTTTCATGTTTGTCAACATTTCCACAAGCTTCACATGGTTTATTACATGTTCACCGACTTGTTTCATGTTTGTCAACATTTTCACAGGATTCACATGTTTCATTACATGTTCACGGACTTGTTTTATGTTTGTCAACATTTCCACAGGCTTCACATGTTTCATTACATGTTCACCGACTTGTTTCATGTTTGTCAACATTTAAACAGGCTTTACATGTTTCCTTACCTGTTCACCGACTTCTCTTATGTTTTACAACATTTCCATCCCATTCATCTAGTTTTTTCGTTACATTTTTTTAAACTAACAAACTACTTCGTAGTTTAACATGTAGGTGTCTTATATGTTTAACTTGATATTCAGCAAATATGTATTGAATTTTAGAGAATTTCTACCCCGAGGATCCGGTATTGTTACAAGACGACCACTGATTGTTCAGTTATTTCATCATCCATCCATGGGTAAGCGTGACTCTAGCGAGAATTCACTGATTTGAAAATATAACTATATGATGACGTAAGAATATCGAAATATGTGGTAACTATATGTATATATATACAACAAAAGGTTTAAAAATTACCGCCAGAACAGTTAAAACAGCAATACCTCACAATATATGACTAACATTATAACCTAAAGCTTAACGTAGTAGTAGCTCTATGCTGGAATTTTACTTCCTTTAGAGGAGAATCTATCATTCAGGTGTGTAGTTCTTCGAAGGTTCCAGCTTTTAAATTTCCGTAAATTCTCTATAGGTTCTGGTGAATTTTACTCGTCATATAACTGTTGTATACGAGAAACCAACACACACACATATATTTTGTACTGTTTACTCATATACTATTTATTATATTTTGATAATAAAATAATTAGCACAAAAGAAAAGCTATATATTGTTTATATTCACAGAGCTAAAGAAAGTTAGCAAATGATGCGAAGAACAAAAAGTCTTGTTCTATATGAAATAATGACCAGCAAAGAGTCAGAATGTATATGATATGAACATATTCTCCATCTACTAAGGACTTAAATGTTTCATTAAACCAAAGTGCGGATAAAAAAAAACACTAACTGTTGCGTACAAAATGACTTTGAATCAAATTCCAAACAAGTATTTGCTATGATGTAATTAACACTTTATGAACAAGACAATTCAACAACAGTTAAAGTAACATGTAACTTACCACAGTAAAATAGTACTTTATATGTATCGATACGTCGTTAAAAGTCAAATTAAATGTGTTTTTGTTTGAAATAGATAAATATGAAGTTACTTCAAATAAGTTCTAAAATTTTACATATCCTTTCTGTAATTTTCAACAGAGTATGCTGAATTTTTGCATCAGCCCAACAAAATATATAAAGATTTCGAGAAAGTACGAGAAGAAATAGAAGCAGAAACTGATCGGGAGACAGGAACTAATAAAAACGTCTCATCTAAGCCAATCAACCTGCGGATTTACTCTCCTCACGGTACGCATTTTTTTTTACATACGAGCTAATAAGTCAGGAACTAATAAAAACGTCTCATCTAAGCCAATCAACCTGCGGATTTACTCTCCTCACGGTACGCATTTTTTTTTTACATATGAGCTAATAAGTTTAAGCAGCGCAAATATTTTAAAAAGAACGATAGATTTTTATTAAACATAGTAATCGAACCTGTATTCTTAATTCATATCAGGACAGTATGTGTTCTTGAACTTTGTAGTTTTTCTAATCTACCAGTTATTTTTAGCTCACTTGTTCCAATACAAAATCATTTCAATCAGCACTAGATAATGCAAAGATTCCTTTCTTTCTTCTTTTTTTAACTAAGCAATGCGTAGTTAAAAGTATCAAACATAATTGTGTAACCAAAGATAGCTTGAGTGTGCTGAAAGCCTACATAATTACGCCTATTAATTCTGCCTACTAATTCCAATAAACTATCCAGTGCAGACGAGTAACCGGTAAGTGTCTATTGACTGTGAATTCCGGTATTTTTTGTTCGTGACCCGTTTCCGCAAAAAAAAAGAACTTCGCACTTCTGGGTTGTAAGTGCTCTATAATAATAACGGTGAAATCACACTATTCGATCAGGATAGAATGGTTCAAAAGATGGTGGTGGTTAATGATGACTAGCCAAGAGATGGCGGTGGTTAATGATGACTAACCATTTTCCCTCTAGTCTACCATTTTAAATCATGAAGGCTGGGAGCCTTGGGTGAAATTTTGAAACTAAGAAACAAACCAATATACTAAACTCAAATATGACTTAGTAACTTATTACTTAAGCTAGATTTATAATAAATACAACTATTTGGAAAGCTTTTCGTTATCGAAATTATTTATAATTGAATTTACTACATAATAAGATAAAAATAGAAATTGCACAAACAGAAACAACTTCTAAAAAAGTGTTTTCAGAAAGAAATATTACGTTCCTTCGAAATATTTGGTTTGCATTATTTTTTGTTATGTCTTAAATACACAGGGAGTGATTAGAATATTTCGTATTCTTCAGTGATGCATTATGTTTAAATATCGCAGCTGAGTTGATCGCGGGTTTTAAAAAGTTGTACAACATAGCTAATACAGCATGTAGATGGGGTATATATATACACACACACTATGGTATATTATGAACTAAAAAGAGGTGTATCTTATTCATCTTCCATTCTTTTTGTGAAGCCCGAAATGTCAAATCACGAGAAAACAGGAAGTAGTATAATTCATTGCTACTAGGTGGTGCACTGAAGCATCATTATAATGGGTTTTTTTTATTGCTTTCTTTTGCAAACAACCACCAGGAAATTTATTGAAACAGCACTATTTCAGTGAAGTGGCTTGGCTGACTAAGCGTGTTTTTTATTTTATTTCCCCAAGTAGTAACAATGGATTTAAACCTAAAGAACGTTATTGTATGTCACGATCACTACGTGTAACTCGGCTTAGTAATCTGGAAGTTAATATCGTTGATGTGATTGATAGTCTTGGAACTTTACGTTCATTTAATTTTGGTTCATAGTGAGAAACCCTATTTGATTCTTGGGTTTTGAACGGATCATATCCTGTTGAAATATTGATTCATGGGTTTTGAACGGATCATATCCTGTTGAAATATTGATTCACGGGTTTTGAACGGATCATATCCTGTTGAAATATTGATTCATGGGTTTTGAACTGATCATATCCTGTTGAAATATTGATTCATGGGTTTTGAACGGATCATATCCTGTTGAAATATTGATTCATGGGTTTTGAACGGATCATATCCTGTTGAAATATTGATTCACGGATTTTGAACGGATCATATCCTGTTG